TGGAGCCCAAGGCGAGTGGCTGCATTTCCATCCTTCTCTCCCTGGCAGACAGAACCCCTGGTGCTTTTCACAGCCAGATGTTATGTGGATACCTCTCTCAGTTCCGGTGCTCTGGGCTGGGAAGCCCAGCCTTGAGTTTAGGCCCCAGAGTCCTCAGTGGGAACCCCCACAGCTGAGATCTCCCTCTGGACCTTCAGCTGCTGCCTGTGGGAGCCCAGTCAGCCTACTCCTGCCTCTGCACTTCCTACCAGTCTCTATGTGGGCTCCCCTTTTCCTCCTTGGTTGTGAGGGTGCTCTCTAGCTCATCTTCAGTTGCAGTTGAGTTTTTAGGATGTTTTTTCTCTATTTTAGCTATAATTCCAGTTTGGTCCCGGGAGAGTGTCACTGTAGCTTCGACTCAGTCCACCGCCATTTTTAAACTCTTTAATTATTATTTCTTCAAATAGGTTCTCAATTGTTGCTCACTCTTTCTCCTTCTGGCACCCTTATGTTGGGGATGTTGTCCCAGAGTTTCCTTAAATTATCATCATTTTTTAAAACACTTTTTTCTTATTGCAGTTCTTATCTGCTGTTTTCTTCTACCTTGTCTTCCAAATTGTTGATACAATGCTCTTTTTTATCTAATGTGCTGTTGATTTCTTCTATATAATTTCAGTTATTGTATTTTTTATTTCTGACTGGTTATTTTTTATAGTTTTTATGTCCTTTTTCATGCTTACTCTCTTTTTGTTGAAATTCTCAATGACTTCCTCTATTCTTCTCATAAATTCCTGGGGCAACCTTATAACCATTGCTTTGAATTCATCAACCCCAAAAGAAATTTCATACCCTTTAGAATTCACTCTCCATACCTTCATACGCCTAGGCAAGACAGGTTAAGATATGATAGATGATGATAGATATAGATAGATGATGATAGATGATAGATAGATAGATGATAGATAGATAGATAGATAGATAGATAGATAGATAGATGATAGATAGATAGATAGATAGATAGATAGATAGATAGATAGATGATAGATGAGAGATAGATGAGAGATAGATAGATGATAGATAGATAAACTGCAGAATGTACATTTTTTCAAAAGCATATGTAATAAAATACCAGAATTGACCATATGTCTGCCCATAAACCAAGACAATAAATTTGAAAAGATTAAATTCTTACACAGTATATTGTCTGGCCATACTGGAATTTAGTTAGAAATCAACAAAAAAGATTTTCTATTTCTAAATTTGGAAATGAAAGAATGTTCTTCTAAATAAGTCAGAGACAATGAAGATACCATAGTGTAAATGTTAATACATCTACCTGATGATAATGGAAAGTAAATGTATAAAGGTTTAAGGAATGCAGCTAAAGCTGCACTTCAAAGGAAATTTAGTCTAAAATCACATGTATGAAAAAAGTAAAAAGTCTAATACACAGTGATCTAAGCTTGCATTTCAAGATCTTAGAAAAACAATAGCAAGTAAAACCACAGTAGAAGAAATTCATATTAGGCAAATTAATATAATACAAACATACAATGAAGATGATCGATGAGTCCAAAAACAGGCTCTAAACAGACCAAATTAATCTACTAATAAATCAACTCCTGGCAAATTGAATCAAGAAAGAAATAGAGCAGATACAAATTATCAGTATCAGACATAAAGAAATAAAAGTAATACAGAACAATCAGATATTAAAATTTTTCTTAACAGTGTTTTAGGTGTAACTATATAAACAAAATGCTATATAATGAAAATATTAGTATAAAACACAATTTATAAATAGTTACACCAGAAGTAGAAATATACATTTTGAATTGCCTAATAATATCCAGTAAAGAAATTGAATCTTGGTTAAAAACTGTTAAAACTTGCAGTTGAGTCATAGAACTGCCAACGAAGAAAACTCCCAACCCAGACTTCTTCACCAGTGAATATTTACAAATACTTAGGAAAGAAAAACCATCAATCCTCCCTTAAATCTTCTAGATAATGTGGACAAAGAGGGGGCCACATAATAAACCTGACAAGCCTAGGGGAGGCCTGCATGGCAGCCTTACAAACCCAGAGACCTAAAGTAACCACATGGGATGATCTGAAATGAAAACTTTCTAACTAAAATGAGTCATGGCTGAAGGTCATGTCCTAGGCCAGTATCTTCTTTGAAAAAGATCAGTCTTTGCCTTGATTTAGCCTATTGTCTTTTTGCATCTACAATAACATACCTTTGGAATGTCAGAGTATTTCCTTTCTCCAGACACCTCAGGGCATAATCACTGCTCCAGAGCAGAACCCACAGAACCCCTCATTGTTATTATCATGTCCATTGTTAACTGTTAACTATCCCATACTTACAATGGAAAATAAATATGTCTATTTCTTTTACTTTTTTGTGGAGGTTTTAGAGAGAGTGAGGAAGGGACAGAGAGAGAGAGAAATATCTATAGGAGAGAGATACACTGATTGGCTCCCTCCTGCACACTTCCTACTGGGGACTGAACTGAAAGCCAGGCATATACCTTGACACGTATACGTGCACAGGATGATGCTCCAACCAACTGAGCCACCCAGCCAGGTCTGCCCTATGTCTTTCTATTGGAGCATTAAATCCATTTACATTTAAAGGAATCATTGATAGTTATTTACCTATTACCACTTGTTAATGGCTTTTTGGTTGTTTTCATAGTTCTCCTCTACTCCTTTCTTCTCTTGATTGCTTCCCTTGTGGTTTCCTGTTTTTCTTTAGTATTTTGTTTGCATTCCTTCCTCTTTGTTCTTTGTATAACATTTTTAGGGCTTTGATGTGTGGTCATCATAAACTTTATGTATATCATTCTATATCTACAGCATTCTACTTGAAGCTAATAGATATTTCACTTCAAATATATTCTATAAGAATTAAACTTTTGCTCCCCTTCTACATTTTATGTAAAGGGGTCATCTTTTCAATCGTTTTGTGTTGTATATGTGCTAATTACTTATTGTATTTTGAGCTGAGTTACATACCTTTTCTCTTTTTACTGTGTAGTAACTTTTTAAATGTCTGACATGATGTATTTATTGAATATTTGGCTTTACCTGTGAAATTTTTTATTCCTTTCTCATATTTTCTAGTTTCTGGTTTGTGGCGTTTCCTTTTCTTCTTAAAGGGACTTCTTTAGAATATAAGACAGAAGACTTGTATGTGCAAGTCTTGGATAGCACTTACAATCATAAAACAGCTATAAACCCACTTGCTCACAAAAAAGATCATCTGTATTTGCTTTTCCCACTTCTGTTCCAATGCTCTGACTGTTCATGAAATGTATTTACTTTGAGGTGTAGCAGTTGTATTTTAACTTTCTGATCAATTTCTCTTTGGACATAAGCATGAACCATGGTAAAAGGGATCAGTCATTTGAAAAGAAACACTGTGTTCCACCAGGATGCCTACGAAGTGGATTTCCGTTCTGCTGCTGCTACAACTGGGTTGTCACTTTAGCCCTGGGTGGTGTGGAAAGGTGCTGGTGTGGCCCACAGAATATAGCCATTGGATGAATATGAAGATAATTCTGGATGAACTTGTCCACAGAGGTCATGAAGTGACTGTTCTGACATCTTCAGCTTCAATTCTTGTTGATCCCAATAAGGCATCTGCTATTAATTTTGAGATTTTTCCTACATCTTTAACAAAAGATGATTTTGAGGATCTTTTCATGCAGCTGATCTCTAAATGGACAAATACACCAAAAGATGGCTTTTTTACTTATTTTTCACTAATGCAAGATATCTTTGGGGAATATTATGATTACATTCAGAAGCTCTGTAAAGATGCAGTTTTAAACAAGAAACTGATGACAAAACTACAGGAATCAAGGTTTGATGTCATTCTTGCAGACCCCTTTGGACCCTGTGGTGAGCTGCTGGCTGAAGTACTTAAAATACCTTTGGTGTACAGTCTCCGCTTCACTCCAGGCTCTACAATTGAGAAGCATATTGGAGGACTTCCATTCCCTCCGTCCTATGCACCTGTTGTCTTGTCAGAGTTAAGTGATCAAATGACCTTCATGGAGAGGGTAAAAAATATGATATACGTGCTCTATTTTGACTTCTGGTTCCAAACATATAATCAGAAGAAGTGGGACCAGTTATATACTGAGGTACTAGGTAAGTCATGTTTTAATGGTGGCTTGAAGTCCTAACTTGTCTAGTGCCATGGGATGTGAGTTTGTATAAACATTAAGTCAGGGGAAATTTCTTTTATGAGTAAAATGACTAAATAATATTATGATATTTCAATCTTAGAAATATTATAGAAATGCTTAAGTTATAAGATCATTTTTAACCCTGTGGTCCATTATTAGTACAGGACACTTCCAGAAGGCAGAAACCACACACTGAAGCACTGAGTGCTAGAGGCAGTTACATATCGATTCTTTGCTGTTTGTAATATGATTTCTTTTTTTTATTCTTTTTTTCTAGGTTAAGTGTTTTATTCTCCCTTTGTTGTTCCTTAAATGTAATATCCGAATAGTATCCATCATATACTTATCGTTAGAGCACTTTTAAGCTCACAGCAATATTGAGTAAGGTTTCCCATATAACCCCGGCCCCCACACATGCATAGAACCCCTCATTTTCAACCTATGGCACCAGAGTGACACATTTGTTACAACTGCTGAACATGTATTGACACATAATCATCCTCCAAAGTCCATAGTCTATGCTGGAGATCACTTATGCTGTTACATATTCCATGGGTTTTGACAAATTTATAATGACATGTATTAAAGAGAATAGTTTCACTACCCTAAAAATTCTCTGTGCTGTACTTATTTCCAACATATCCATTTTACTATAATTTTTTCATCTCAAAAAGAGGCATTAGAAATTTCACTATCTTGATCAAAGTAGAAATGTACATTGAGAAGTGACTTTATTTCTAGCACAGCTGTCGAAAAAGCATTGAGGTAATTGTTTCCACTTGTTTATCCTCAGTTTCCTTATATAAAAATTAAACTCTTTTGGCATATTACCTAAAAAATTATTCACAGTGCAGAGATACAATTGCTCCATTCCAGACCCAAGAACCTATAACTCAGCGATTCTCAAGATTACACATTCATTCGCTAAGTGCTTACAATCATCTCCTTTAAAGGTCAAAAAATCTTGTTGAAGTGTGGACATTAAAGTTATTAGTCTCTATTTTTTAAAACGATATCTCCCCATTACATACAAAATAAGTCCAAATTAAGGGAGCCCTGCTGGACATGGCTCAGAGGTTGACCTTCGATCTAGGACCCAAGAGATCGTGGTTCAATTCCCAATCAGAGCACATGTCTGGGTTGGGCAGGATCGATCCCCAGTTGGGGGCGGGCAGGAGGCAGCTGATCAATGATGACTCTCTCATCGTTGATATTTCTCTCTCTCTCTCTCTCTCTCTTCCTCTCCCTTCCTTTCTCTGAAATCAATAAAGATATATTTTTTTAAAAAGGGGGGAGAACACATCTATTTCCATATCTTATGAAAAGTTTCCAGTTGTTATTGGCAAATATCATTATTTGCACTATTTTTTAAATTTATCTTTATTGTTGAAAGTATTACAGATGTCCCCCTTTTCCACCCACCCATCCCCTGAACCCCGCTTCTCCTCCCTCCCCATGCCTTCACTGTACTATTGTCTGTGTCTGTAGGTTATGCACATATGAATCTAAGTTCTTTGGTTAATCTCTTCCACCCCACTCCTCTCTGAGATTCCTCAGTCTGTTGCATGCTTCCATGTGTCTAAATCTATTTTGTTCACTCGTTTATTTCATTCCTTAGTAAAATTCCACATATAAGTGACATCATGTGATACTTGTCTTTCTCTGACTGGCTCATTTCCTTTAGCATAATAATCTCCAGGTCCCTCCATGCTGTCCCAAAGGGTAAGAAATCCTTCTTTATTACAGCTCTAAATATCATTATTAAATATATACAAAGATTATTAAGCTCCTAAAATGAACAAAGTGCAATAGTAACTATCAGGAACTGAGACATACTTTCAAAAACCTGAAAGTTCTTAGAAAATCTGTTATAAAGGAAATAGCTTCCTAAATTGTAGAAACTAAGCTGAATACTCTAGGCAATGTGTTTCCAATGGTTAATTGAGTAGGAAGCTCAAATAACTGTGCACATTTGCATGTGTTACTTCTGTGGCTTTACAGAGTAAACAAATATGTTTAATTCTATGTTGGCTTACATGTAATAACTATTTATCATTTTGAATGTACTGATGTCACATTAGAGACAACAATTCTCTAGCACTTTGTCTTATATATTTGAACATAAACATAAACTATACAAATTTTATATATTTTGTCATATATATATGAGTATGTATACATATACACCATATGTATAAATATTTATATTATCAAATCCCAGACACTTTACAACATTTTGGCTACATTATTCCCAGCACCTTTCAGAAAATTTCCAAGTGTAGTACTTACATTAAAATGCTTTTTTTTCCTCTACCTTCTGTTTGCTTTTTCCTTTCAGGAAGACCCACTACATTATTTGAATTAATGAGTAAAGCTGAAATATGGCTCATTCGGACCTACTGGGACTTTGAATTTCCCCGCCCATTCTTACCACATTTCCATTTTGTTGGAGGCCTCCACTGCAAACCTGCCAAACCTCTGCCTAAGGTAAACCTATTCCTGTTTTTGTTGTTGTTTGAGGATACTCACCAGTATTCTACCTTACAAAAAAAACAATTCCTCTTGTCATTATGAATGTATTCCGGCAATATTTGCAGAAAAACCCAACATTTATTCAATTCCAGCATATAAAAAATTCCCCATTTGAAATCCAGTTTGACATCTTAGCATAAAGAGCCTTTTTAAAAAATATATATCTTTATTGATTTCAGTGAGAGGAGGAGAGGGAGAGAGAGAGATAGAAACATCAATGATGAGAGTGTCATTCATCAGCTGCCTTCGGCATGCCCCTTGCTGGGGATAGAGCCCCCAACCCAGGCATGTGCCGCACCCCGGAATCGCAACCCCAAATCCTCAATCATAGGTTGATGTTCAACCCGAAGTCACTACCGGCTGGGCCAAAAAGAGCCTTTTAAAACAGGTGCTTTCTGCCATACACCAAGCTGGCACAAAAGTCTCAGTAAGGATCCCTTTGGGAACATGATTCTCAGCATCACAGCTGACGGACAAAATGAGCACAAAGGAAACGTACACTGCATATATAACAAGGACCCAAATCCCGCATTTTTAATAGACTAAGTAATTCCTACCGATTGTACCTGAAAATTCCCCATACTACAAAATTGCAAAAGAATTCTCAGCATACAGGATACTCCTTATGAAGAAAAGCAATAACATAATGTGCTTTAAATTGATATCATATCTTTAAGACAATTACAAACAAGCATCTTTTATTAATTATTTTAT